GGACCCCCCTGAGGAGGAGACAGGAAAAGAGTGCAGCCCTCAGTGGGATGATGGAGGTTGACGTCGGACCCCCCTGAGGAGGAGACAGGAAAAGAGTGCAGTCCTCAGTGGGATGATGGAGGTTGACGGCTGAGTAAGAGCCCAAAGGAAATGTTCAGGCTGAGGGCAGGGCAAGCAGAGGAGTGGGGCCGGGCAGAGGGAACAATGAGAAGAGGGGGAAGCTGAGGTCAGGGCTATAAAGGGTCAGATTCTGATGGCCTTTTGGCCAAAGTGATAATTGATTATGTTCAGAATAAGATGAGAAGCCGGGGGGAGGTTTTGCACAGATAATTGATACGACCTGATTTAACGTGGCAACAGGTCCCTCCAGCTGCAAATAGACTGGAGGGGACAAAGGTAGAATCAGGGCGACGAGTTAAGAGGCCATTGAATTATTTAGTTAGTTAAGATGAGAGGAGATGATGGTTTGGATCACAAGGGTAACAGTAGAAATGGTGAAAATTGGTCTGTTTCTGAGTATATTTTTAAGATAGAACCAAAAATATTATGAAGGATTTGCTGCCAAATCAGATGCAGGGGATGTGAGAGAACGAAAGGAAGCAAGTCTGACACTCAGTTTTGGGTTTCATCGTCTAGGAGGGTGCTGAGAAGGACAGTAGAGGCAGAGCAGGTTTTGAGGAAAGGTCAGGAGCTCGGTGTAAGGCAAGTTCAGAATTGAGATGACTGTTAGGCAGCCAAGTGGAGAAGCCAGACAGGCAATTGGCGCATCAGTGTCGAGTTCAAAATAGCATTCTAGGATAGAGACACAAACGGGGACACTAAGCATTACTGTCTTGGAGCCTTGATGGTAGTAAGAGAGGCTTAAAGCCTTAGAAAGCAAATAAAGAGCTCTGGCTGTATAGTGCACAGACCTGAGTTCCAATACAAATTGCGATACCCGATAGATAGTACTATCACTTAAAGTTGTCTCCATTTGATTGTCTTAAAATGGACATTTTGGTTGACTCAGAGTTGGTCTCATCCTGGGTCTGGTAATGCTGGAGCCTGGTGTGTTGTGAGTCAAATGTTAATCACGGTGCCAATAGTGAGGACGACTGTACTCTTGGGGGAAGCTACAGTGGCATTCCTGCAGTGCCCCTAAAAGTACACCAACCTGTACCTCCAGGCAATTTCCCCTCAAGTTCCAAATACTGAGAAGTTAGCTAATTATCATTCAGAAGCTGGGAAAGGCCACCAACAGAGTCCTTCCTAGCCATCACGTGGGGAGCCAAATATATACTCAGAGCCCATAGTCTGATTCATATGGTTAGATACCAGTGGGAAAAAAAATAGTTAATACTGGTCAGGAGTCCCTGGTTTAGAAATCCCATTGCTAACGGAAAGGTTGGCAATTTGAACCTACCCAAAGATGCCTCCAAAGACAAGCCTAGGATCTGCTTCCAAAAGATCAGAACCTTGGAATCCTAAGGAGTGCAATTCTTCTGTGCACGGGGGTTTACCATGAGTTGGAATGGATTCAATAGCAGCTGGTATGGTATAATGGTCATGTGTAAGTCTAGGGATAAGTCTAAGGAAGGTACCTTAGAAAAAGTGAGTTTGGAGCCAAATATTTTACATGGGGTAGAGAGATTTCTTTGTGTGGTGTGTGAGAAGAAGATTTTAGGGGAGAAAGGAGGCATGTTGGAGAAGAGGAAGACCACATAAAGCACAGAAGCAGAAAGTCCAGCATTTTGGATGGAGAAAGAGGTCTGCCGTCTTTTAGACTAGCTTGTGGTTTTGACCCCTGAGTTTCATGTGGCTCACTGGTGTCTTCTCTCCCATCACCCTGCCTAACCTTAGCTACTGCGAGGAGATCCCTGTAGAAGAGAATGAAGTGAATGACAGCTCATCCAAGAGCAGCATAGAGACCAAGCCAGATGTCAGCCCACAGCTGCCCAAGAAATCCATCACCAACAGCACACTGACTTCCACGGGGAGCAGCGAAGCCCCCGTCTCGGTATGGACAGGAGCCCTTTGCTTCTACCCCAGCCCAGTGACTGGAGCTTCCTAGCTTATTCGAATCCACAGGAACCAAGTTCAGGGGCATCATGGAGCAGATGGTGCTCTCTCCATTCTAGCAGTGAAGCTCCAGGGTCCAGAGCTGGGTTCTAGGCACCTTGGATGCAAGATTTTGTTTCAGTTCCAAGGGGACAGAAACCGTTCCTGGGAGCATCTCTCTTCACCGTGCCTGTATATTAGCTTTTGAGTCTGTGGGCCCATCTTAGACCACTTTCCGTGTTCCTTCTCCATCTTTGTGCCAGCACCCTTCCCTGACCTAATGTAGAAGAAGGAGAGAGTTTGGTGCTAAAGCCAAGGAGAACCTGGTATTATACTCAGGACTCCTGACTCAAGTCTGTTATTTGAGGGTTGCTCGTGGTGGGTACTTAATTCAGCTCCTCTCTTAGGGTTCCCAAACCAAACTCACTGCCATCGAGTCAACTCTGACTCATGGTGACCCCAGAGGACAAAGTAGAACTGCCCCTGAAACTGTAAATCTTTACTGGGGCAGAAAGCCCTGTTTTTCTCCCACATTTAATATGCACAGTCCCTAAAAACCAAACCAATTGCCATCTACTCAATTGCCATTCACAAAAACAACCAACCCAAAAAACCTCACTGCCGTCAAGTTGATGCCAACTCACAGTGAGCCTACAACTGGGTAGCACTGCCCCTGTGGGTTTCTAAGACGAGCTCTTTACAGGAGTAGAGAGCCCCATCTTTCTCCCAAGGAGGAGCTGGAGGTTTCAAACTGCTGACCTTGCAGATCACAGCCCACTATGTAACCTCAACACCACCAGGGTAGTGCACTACCTGGTCACCAAGAGGTTGGCTGTGTGAGTCACCCAGCAGCGCCTCCGAAGGAAAGGTCTGGTCACCTGCCTCCATGCAGATTAAAGGCAAGGAAGCTCTTTGATGACCTTCTCCTAATTCACAATAAACCATTTTTAAAAAGAAGACTCTGTGGAGACATGCTGCTCGGTGACCAGGATAGCAACGAGCTGACAGCAGGAGGCAGCAACGTGGAGAGATGGAGGTCAAGATGCAGATCTGTAGAGGTCAATGGACTGATTTTTAGGAGTTGGCTCATGCAGTTGTGGTGTCTGGCAAGTCTAAACTCTGTAGATGAGGTGATGGGCTTGACATCCCACAGCATGCATCCTGTATTTGTAGGGCAGGTGACAGGAAGAGGAGGAATTCTGGCAAAATGTTTACTTACAGTCTAGAGGCGGAATGCACTCTAGGGAAACTCTCTCTTTGCTCTTAAGATCTCTGAATGATAGGATAGGGCCCATCAGTATTATGGAATGCAGTGGGCTTTACTTAAGGCCAGGGATTCAATCACATTTACTTACTGCATCTGGGCTAATGTTTGAGCAAACAACTGAATACCACCCCCTAACCGAGACGTGCCACATAAAATCACAGCTTATATCTCCACAACCATCGAGGCCCTGTTTGAGTTTCCAAGACTGTACATCTTTATGCAAGTAGAAAGCCTCATTGCTCTCCCACTGAGCAGCTGGTGAGTTTGAATCACCCATCCAGCAGTCCAGTGCTCAAGGCCACCAGAGCGTCTTTCACGGTCCGGAGAGTGGAAAACTACGCTAGGTCTTTTTCCCCTCCCATCATCTCGATTGAAAGTCAGGAGTCCTCATGGTGCAGTAGTTAAGTGCTTGCCTATTACTCCTGAAGTCAGTGATCGGAACCCACCAGCCGCTCTGCAGGAGAAACACGCAGCGGTTATGTTGCCATGAAAATGCCCAGCAGGGCACATCTGCTCTGTCCTCTGCGGTTGCTGGGAGTCAGAATCAACTCAGTGTTAGTGGGGTTTGGCTCAGAAGTCAAAGTCATCTCAGCAGCAGGCCAGTCACTGTGCTCCCCACCCTTCGGGGGTGCATCTTCTGAGACTAGGGGTGCCCCGGGCACCCACATCCCTTCAGAAGCACATTGTGCATTGCCAGCATCTTTAGGCTGGCTGCGATTTTATTTGCAATCTGTTGTATCAACATGTCTCTAGCATACCTCCTATGTATGATTTTTAAAAAATTAACTATTCCAAATAAACTCTCATGATCCACTTGCCTCAAATAGAAAAATGTAAAAGGCAAAGTCATACACATAGAACTGTAGAACTACCTGTTAGTTGTTTATTCACTCATTCAGTAAATAGGTATTGTGTGTCTAAGATTTGCCTTTATTTTCCTACCATGCTAGACTCTGGAAGATATAAAATATGTAACCAGAATATCTGTCTTCTAGGACTTCGTTTTAGAGGAGATAGAAATCAATGAAGGAAGAGGACAGGATGTGTCCTGGCACACCGAAGAAGAGGTGGCGTTCCTTAGTAAACCTGTCTCAGGAAAGGCAGCCTTGTGTTCCATTGGCTTTGGGATCAGGGCCACCCGAACTTAGAATGGAAACAGTATTCATTTCATTCCTGGTCACCGTTTTTTGCCTCTGATATTAATTTTAAAGTGGAAATGATTGTGCCTGTTCCCATCCTGGACTAGTAGGATGTTGAATTTTAAATACACTTATTAAATCATTTGGGCATTGGGGATAAGGTACTGCCTAGGGATAGGCTGGCATTGTTACAGGGTGGTGGCGAAGTGATCCCAGGATGCATGATGTGACTGATGGGTGATGTGACTAGTTCCACTGGTGAGGCCCGATGTGCTGCTCTAAGGGTGAGCATGAGAAGATGGCATCGTGCACTGTGTGCTCATATCTTCCGTGGCAGGGTTGACTCTAGCCCCGCTCCCAAACAGCTATGTCTTGAATGTGTAGAATTCTCTGACCTAGACCTCCCGAATCTGCCTTTGGAGACTAGATCCAGGTCAGATGGTCTCTACTGGGTAACTCCTCTGTCTCCACTCCAGTTTGACGGTCTTCCTCTGGAGGAGGAGGTGCTGGAGGGTGATGGGTCCCTGGAGAAAGAGCTTGCCATCGACAACATCCTAGGGGAGAAGATTGAGATCATTGCACCGGTGAACTCCCCTTCATTGGACTTCAATGACAATGAAGACATCCCCACTGATCTCAGTGACTCTTCTGACACTCATGATGAAGGTAGGGATTTGGAAAGAGGCACAGCGTGGTCCTTCGTCTCTTTATCTGAAGATTAAAAGGATGGATGTCTATATGTGGAGTCTGGTCTCTTAGTTCCTGGTGAAAGTGTGGGTACCAGAGTTTTGTTTTTGTTTTTAAAGGTCCATTTTGTTATTACCATACATTCCTTTTTGCAGGTCCTCATCTCTCTGCATTTGGTCTTTCACTGCTCAACAGTTAATGCACTGCCCCACTGTCTGGTCTCATCCCCAAATGGACCTCCTGTTAGTATGAGTTTGTCTTGCATCTCTGTCCTTCACACAGATACAATGCAAGAAAGGTGCCACTCAGCTGCTGTCTGGCAGTAATTAGATTTGAATGGAAATGTTCTCAAGATAAATGCAAAACCATTAGTGATTCCACTCTGAGGGCTTGTGGAAAAGGCTTTCCTGGTCATGTAGATATTGAAGACTCCACTTCTTTCTAATAATTCTAAGTAGAGACCTTCTTACTTATCCCTGCATAGGGTCAGCTTCTAAGACTTCACTCAGGACAATGCTACTTCTTTTTTTTTACAGTTTTATAAGCACTTCATCCACATGCCATTCAATTCCATAATTCAATTACAGTATATCAAGAAGAGCTACACAACTGTCACCATATTACATTCTAGAACCTTTTCTTCTTCCTTCTACTCATTGTTATTAGTGTAATACTTTTTTTCTAATTGTGGCAAAAACATACACAACAAAGCATTCTTATACTTGTTGTCCACAACTTATACTTGTATAATTCAGTGCCATTGACTGTATTCTTCATGTTGTACAACCATTATTGATAACCCTTCCCAAATTATTCCACCATTAGTCACATAAACGCAATGTCCCCTAAGCAACAACTCTTCCCCCTTCTCCCGTGGTAACCAGTGGTCAGGTTTGGTTTCTTCTTTTTCTTTTTTTTTTTAAGTGGATTTTTTGACATAGTATTCACATACATTTCCATGGTTAAATTGCTTTTAAAATGAGTTGTATATTGTATCGCAATCAATTCTAGTGCTCCTTCCCCACTCCCACATTTATTGATTGCTCCTCACAGCCCTCACTCTCTATGCATCTACTCCTGTGCTTCACAAACTGGAAGCCCAACAGAAACAATTTTTAAAATGCCAAAAAGAATAAGAATAATATAAAGATAAAATACATATAAAGAGTAAAGACCTTTATCAATAATTAAAAGGCCAGGGAAGAAATTTTTGTGACAGAACAAGTAAAAAATACTTGTGCCTAGAACAAATTCAGGATGGGTCAAGATGGAGATCAACTGACCAAGTGTCAAATTATACTATTTTTGATCTGCCATAATCAAGTTTACATTAATCTCTATCTGATAGTAAAGCTGTTTGAGGACCCTTGCCTGTGGCTAGAGGTGACTTGCCACAGGCTTAATCTGAGTAGATGCTCTGCAGGTGGATTTTGGGCTCCCACTGTCCCCCATAGCCTTCTACAAATTGAGTGTTCACAGGACAATGCTACTTCTTACAATCCGTGGAGAGAAGTCAAATCCTCAGTGTTCGTTATATTGGTTGGTGATTCACCTCCATTGACTTGGTAATAAAGTGATAAGGAAATGGTTAGCGTTCTGCAGACAGTCTCCCCTGTGGTTTACCTGTAGTAGTTTCATGACCTGTTATTAGTCTCTCACCCCCAGCCAGCATCCAGGGCCAGTGGAAATGGTTGTATAACTTGGGCACCACATACCTTTCCAAGAAACTAGGATGTGAACATTGACCTGCTGTGCTGTGCTCCCCTGCCAGTCATAGGCACTGGCCTCCCGGGATGCTCCTCAACTATTCCGTAGTCTCCTCAGAATGCCAGTATGCTGCATGAGACCACATCACCACCTGCAGCCGGGCAGTGCTATGGCTGCAGAGTGCTGAGGCCTGGGAAAGCACCAGGCAATGCACACAAATCCACAGATGGATGCTCCTGGAGCAGATGAAACAATTCAGAAGAGTAAAGTTTCTTAAAATGAAATCATCAAAGAGGCGGGGCTTACTTACCAGCTGGGTGGACACTGGTGCAACCGCCAAGACAATGACCCTTACCCTTCACGTCTTGAACTGAACTCATCCACTTAGCATCAAAAGGACAGCGTTTACCTAAGGACACAGCTCAGCGGGTGAGGCAAGGAGGAGTGGAAACAGGGGGCGGGCATGCAGTAGCATCTCTTCTGGTCCACTGAGGGGATGGATGAGTTGAATTAGAATGTGCATGAACTGTTGAGTGAGGTGAGTGTGAAACAATGATCAGTAAACCTTCACCTAGTTCACCAGGAAAAACCTAGTTCACCGTGAAAACCAGAGGCCACTGTATGGAAGGAAAACACACCTGTGCACTTGAGGACACTGCCACCGGGTCTTGAAACTTTTGGATAAACAGTATTCCAGATTAGTCAGTGCCCCTCAAAGATGCCTGTGCCATTCATTCCTAACTCCATTTCATGCTAACTGATGCAGGCTCAGGAATTACCATAGATACTCGTGTTAATCCAAGTTTTTCCAGCACATTTAAAATGCAGTTTTGTGGTAAAATTGGGTTCCACTGCTGATATTCGGGTCAGCTTATACTCAAGTATATACGGTAGTCCTTTATTTGCATGTTAGTCAATGGTCAATGGAATGGGGGTGGGGGGTTCAATTGTGTTTAAAAACAACAGTGAATCCCCTAACTCTTTCAAGAGCAGAGTGCCAGCCAGAGTGAATGGTGTCTCTCACACACACACACACACACACACACACACACACACACACACACGCACACACCAAGAAGGAAGGAGACTGAAGCAATGTTCCCAGGGCTGGGGGCACCCTGTTTGCCCTTAGTTGAGTTTCCCATTTGCGTGCACATGCTCTGAGAGATGGCCCTGGGCCTTCCTGCTCCCTGCCATCACCACCCCTGTCACCACCCCTGTTCTCTCTCCCTGCAGGAGAGGTCCAAGCCTTTTACGAGGACCTGAGCGGCCGGCAGTATGTGAACGAAGTCTTCAACTTCAGCGTGGACAAGCTCTATGACCTCCTCTTCACTGACTCGCCCTTCCAGAGGGACTTCATGGAGCAGCGGCGCTTCTCCGGTCCGTTCTTGGCCCAGGCTGAGCTGGCCCCACCTGCCCCTTCCCACTCTGTCCACTCCACCTCTGTTTTCCTCTTCTTCCCTCTTGCTCCACGTCCTCCTCTTCCAGGTCCCCCTACTGGACAAGTTCCCACAGAGCCCCTTTGACCCCCTCTTTCCACAAAAGCAACAGCTTCCTTGCTTGGCTTTTGCACCCCAGATACTCAGTGCTGGGCCCCAGTCACTCACCAGGGAACAAGTCCTGGCCTTAACAAAACCACTGTCTGGTTCAGAAGTGCTGCTGCTCCGTATTAGCTCTTGTTGTGAGTGGACGTCACGGTGGTCCCTAATGTGGCCCAGCCTTGCCTCATCACTTGTGATCCACAGGGTTTTCACGGGTTGGTGTTCAGAGGTTGGTCACCAGGCCTTTCTTCCTAGAAGCGCTGCTGAAGCCTCGTCAGCATCATAGTAGTACACAAGTCTCTGCTGGCAGAGGGGTGGCAGCAGCACATGCGATGCATTGATGGGCAATGGAACCTGGGTCTCCCACTTTGTTGGCCAGGATTCGACCACAGAGTCACCAGTTCTCCTTCATGGTGTCCCCTTCCTTACTGGTGGGGACTCCCTCCACGCCAGGCTGTCACATCCGATTGAATTTTGCCTGGGGGTAGGGTGACAGCCATGGAACTGATGGGGGTGCTGACCCTCACAGCCGTGCTGCTTACTTGTCCAGGGGCATAGCCAGGATTCATAGCTAGGAGTTCATGCTCAGGCCCTTCGCGTTCCCGCCTCACCTCCTCACCTCTGCCGGGACTGTAGCATTCCACTCAGTGAGAAAACATTTGGGCACCCGCTTGCCCCTCTGCGCAGAGAAGAAATGCTGAGGGCATGGGGAGGTCAAGCCTAGAGGAGAGGACTTGTTCCCAAGGGATCCGAGGCCTTCCTCACAGTGGCTCCAGTGTTGCCAGAACCCTGTAGGTGGCCCCGAGACCTCTTGCCTGGCCCAGGACAATCGACATCTGGAGCCTTGTGTGTGGAATCTTGGCAATGCTATAATGAGCCTCTTTCTGCCTTGACTCCTCCTCCTCCCACCCCACTCCCCTGCCTGCCCTTGCTCCTCGGAGCAGATGTAGCCGCTCAGCGTTAGCCCTCCTCTGACCACCATCTGGGGGTCAGTCGGCAAGCAGAAGAGTCAAAGGGAGGTCGCTTGGAGGAGAAATTCAGACGGGAGGGTGCTTCTTCCTCGCCCTCATTCCAGGGCTCCCGTCTACCCTCAGGTATCATTTTTCACCCGTGGAAAAAGGAGGAGAATGGAAACCAGAGCCGAGTGATCCTGTATACCATCACCCTTACCAACCCGCTGGCTCCCAAAACTGCCACTGTCAGGGAGACACAGGTGAGTTGGGGTCAGGAGGGGCTGGTAACCCCTCTACTCTGCTGTGGAGGGTTCAGGGTACGGGGAGGAAGATGTCGCTGGAAGCAGACGTGGTCTGATGCGGCAGGGGCTCCCTTCTGCAGGCGCACATCCTGCCATTTCCAGTGGTTCGGGAGTCTTCTCAGAAGTGACGGGATGGCGTAGTGGGAGAGGTGCGTTGTCTCTCTTGCTTCTCTTCATTTTATCTGAGCCTTTTCCTCCATATAGACCATGTATAAGGCGAGCCAAGAGAGTGAGTGTTACGTGATTGATGCTGAAGTCCTCACGCATGACGTGCCGTACCATGACTACTTCTACACCATCAATCGCTACACGCTCACACGTGTGGCTCGGAACAAGAGTCGACTCAGGTATGACATCCTCAGGGCTTCAGTGGTACAGCAGATGCTGTGCTTGGGGGTGGGATTGGGGGAAGGGGAGCACTTTCCGATGGAGACTGCTCATTTATTCCTGTGGGGAAGAAGGGAGTTGTAGGTTATAGACAATGGAAGCCTCTGAGGCATTCCACCTCCCCATCCTAATGTACTACCTTTTTCTTCCTTCTTTTTCTCTCTGCATCCCTTTACAGAACTTTTTTTTTTTACTCTTTATCATTTTTTAAAAATCATTTTATTAGGGGCTCATATAACTCTTATCACAATCCATACATACATCAATTGTGTAAAGGGCATTTGTACATTCATTGCCCTCATCATTCTCAAAACATTTCCTCTCCACTTAAGCCCCCGGCATTAGGTCCTCATTTTTCCCCTCCCTCCCTGCTCCCCCCTCCCTCGTGAGCCCTTGATAATTTATAAATTATTATTTTGTCATATCTTGCCCCGTCTGACGTCTCCCTTCACCCACTTTTCTGTTGTCGTCCCCCAGGGAGGAGGTCACATATAGTTCCTTGTAATTGGTTCCCTCTTTCTAACCCACTCTCCCTCTACCCTCCCAGTATCGCCACTCACACCACTGGTCCTGAAGGGATCATTCGCCCTGGATTCCCTGTATTTCCAGTTCCTATCTGTACCAATGTACATCCTCTGATCTAGCCAGACTTGCAAGGTAGATTTCGGATCATGATAGTGGGGGTGGGGAGGAAGCATTTAGGAACTACAGGAAAGTTGTATTTTTCATCATTGCTATATCACACCCTGCCTGGCTCGTCTCCTATCTTTACAAAACTTGTATAGCTACTCTCTATGGGTTCTAAAAGACTGTGTAGGTGCCTTATGTGCATTAACTGGAGCAATAACCAAGTAAAAATTTTACCCTCATTCTTCAACTTAAAAAAATAGAGGCTCATGCAAGTTAAATCACTGCCCAGAGTCATGCTGCTAGAATTCTGAGCCCAGGACTTAGCACTGCACACCTGTGCTTTTCCTGGCATATTGTCCTTAGCTGATTTACTGTTTGTCTTCCCATGCTCAAATGCACACTCATGAGGGGCAGGGCCACATTCATTCACTGCTCCCATCCCAGCCCCTGCACATAGTGAAACCAGACAGTGCTGGAGAAATGCATGCTTTTAATGCAACTGGTGGTCGAGTCTTGAAGCACATTCCAAGAGAGAAAGAAATTTAAGCCCTGGTCTTAAAGTGTATATGTCCAATTGAAAAGTCAAAACACAACCCATTTGGAAAGAATCCGGTCTTGAGCCAAGGACTTTGGTTGTAAGGAGAAGTGGAGTCAAGTTGTTCAAATGAAATGGAAGGAATCAAAAAGGACCCGTGTCTTTCTCATCCTCATCCTGATTGTTGTGTACTCTGCTCGCCTCCTCCTCCCTCTCCTCTCTCCTGCTCCTGCCCTTCCTCTTCCTTCTTCGCCGACAGCGCCCCCAGCTCTCCTCTACCTTCCTGCCCTTTTGCCCACATGCTCTACGGATCGCAAGTTCAGATTCCTAGGAGAGGATTCCAATTGCTTGCTTTTCAGCCTAGTCCACATCTAGGTAGCTGGTTGGCCACAGGTAGACTGTTTCAGAAAGCTACCCACCCTTAGCAGAGGAGATAGTTGGTGCATGAGGAAGGCAGGCAGCTCCAAATACAGATGTGCTCACGTGGAAGTCCCTGAGTAGACGATGGGGTCAGGGCAAGGTGACACCCTCAACAGGGAGAGCATCAGCTTCAAGGGCGGAGCAAATGAGCCTAAGGAGGAGCTCCAGAGAAGGTCTGCAGTTCAGGGAAGGGAGGAACTGGAACTGGGAGGGTGTGGGAAGAAGAAGAGATCGGGAGACAGAACACCTGAGAAACAGCTGACAAAGTCCGGGGCACAGGGCAGAGGCGAAAGCTAGGATGGGCAGCAAGTTACTCTTCAATGTGGAAATGATGAAGGAGAAAGTGTGTCGTTTCCCTTCCAGCATCAATGGCCAGACTTCAGGCCCCAGCTTCCCCTTGGCTGGCTGGCAGGCTTTGGCAGCAGTGGGTGCCCTGGTGGAAGGAAGGCTGTGTGAGGTCATGAAAAGAACCTGTTCTTGCCATCAGAAACCTTTGGTTGGTAGCCTCAGTTTGCTGAAATATTCTAAACCTGTCTTCTCATCTCTAAAATGGGGATAAGCCCACTTGCTCCACCAACCTCAAAAGGTAGCCAGGGAGACCAAGTAGAAGTTTCAATATGAAGGACTTTGTAGCCTCTGTCATGAATTTAATTATACGCTACCAGAAATATGTGTTAACATGGCTGAACCAGGGCTTTCAGTGGTTTGGCTGTTATACAGTGGTGCACTTTGGCAGTTCTGTAGTGATGTAATCATCCCCCCTGATGTGATGTGGAATGATCAGCCCATCTGTGGTAAGGGATTTGGGGAGGGATACAATACAGCAGTTCTCAACCTGTGGGTTGTGATCCCTTTGGGGGTTGAACAATCCTTTCACAGGGGTCACCTGATTCATAACAGTAGCAAAATTACAGTTATGAAGTAGCAATGAAAATAATTTTATGGTTGGGGGTCACCACAACATGAGGAACTGTATTAAAGGGTCGCGGCAATTGGAAGGTTGAGAACCACTGAGTTAGGGGTTTCAAAGTGCAGACCTGGTGCTTAGCAGTTCTATGGGTAAGTCCCAAAGGCTCCATTCTGTCTCTTGGTAACACACATTCCATCAAGTCCTTAAGGGCTGGGTGCCCCTCCCAAGGCTGGCTAGGGGAGTGGTAACAATCCACATTCAAACTCTCTCCAAGAGCAAAGCTATTCATAGTACTAGTTAATGGCCAGAAAGAATTCAATGAAGGCAGAAACTGCACCTCACTCTCTGCCATTGAGTGAATCACAACTCACAGTGACCCTCAAGCACAAGGTAGAACTGCCCTGTGGGTTTCTGAGTCTGTAACTCTGTGTTGTTATGAGGTACCGTCAGTGGGTTCCACTCAGAGCAACCCTATGCGCAAGAGAAAGAACCTTGATAGGTCCTGTGACATCCTCACAGTTGTTCCTGTATCTGAGCCCAGTGTTGCAGCTGCGGTGTCAGTTCACCTCATTGAGGGCCCTCCTCTTTTTCACTGCCCTGCTACTTTACCAAACACTATGTCACCAGCAGGGCCTGCTCTGCTGACAACATGTCCCAAGCATGTAAGACGAAGTCTCATCATCCTTGCCTCTAAGGAGCACTCTGGCTGCACCTCTTCCAAGGCAGATCTGTAGACTGTGTATTTTTAAAGGACCAAGAAACCTCATCTCCTCCCCATCTCTTCCCCCCACCCCCACCCAGAGTTGTTGGTGGGTTTGAGCCACTGACCTTGTGGTTAGCAATTCAATGCTTAACCCACTGCACCACAAGGCTCCCTACATAGTATATACCAAACCAAGCCCATTATCATCCAACTGATTCCAACTCATAGTGCCCCAGATAGGGTTTCCAAAGCTGTAAATCTTCAGGAGCAGATTGCCTCATTGTTCTCACTGGCATGTACGATAGATAGATAGATAGGTAGATAGGTAGATAGATAGATAGATAGATAGATAGATAGATAGATAGATAGATAGATAGATAGATAGATAGATAGATAGATAGATAGATAGATAATTATACATACGTACTATATATATAATCATTACTGAGGCTAAGGATTTTATGCTAGCTTCCAAATTCCAAGTGCATCACTTACTAAATCTTTGTAGCTTGAGAAAGAAAAGGAATTCGTCTCCCTTAATTTCCTACAGAAGGAACACCAGTGGCTCCATTTTTAAGCGCTCAGCTGGTGGTAGAAAGATTGGAGGTGATCCAAATCCACCGTAGAAAGTAGTTGTGGTTGTCAGCTTTTTATAAAGATTCCAGCCTTGGAAACCTTGCTTAACCATTAAGTCCCACTGCTTGGGTTGGGTTTGTTTACGGAGAAGTTGCTGCGGCTTGGTGGTTGTGGAGATAAAGTGAGCAAATTCTAGCAAGACTCACAACCTAGTACAGCAGTTCTCAACCTGTGGGTCGCAGCCCCTTTGGGAGTTGAACGACCCTTTCAAATGGGTCGTCCGAGACTATCAGAAAACACATAAATATTTCACAATATATAATTACATATTGTTTTGTGATTTTTCACTAAGCTTTAATTATGTTCAATTTGTAACAATGAAAATACATCCTGCATATCAGATATTTACATTATAATTCATAACAGTAGCAAAATGACAGTTATGAGTGGCAATGAAAATAATTTTATGGTTAGGGGAGGATCACCACAACACGAGGAACTGTATTAAAGGGTTGCAGCATGAGGAAGGTTGAGAGCCACTGCTCCATCAGGTCACAACCCTGTAAGGGGAGTTCCCCTGAGGTGTGAGATATATATAGTCATTTGGGGGGGCTCTTACAGCTCTTATTCCATTCCATATGTCAATTGTATCAAGCATTTGTACACATGTTACCATCATCTTTTCCAAAATATTTTCTACCTGAGCCCTTGGTATAAGCTCCTCTTTTTTCCCCTCCCTCCCACCCTCATGAATCCTTGATCAATTATATATTGTTATTATTATTTCATATCTCACATTGTCCATTGTCTCCTTTCACCCACATTTCTGTTATTCGTCCCCTTTGGGGGCAGGGGTGTGCGCTATATATCTAACCTTGTGATGGGTTCCCCTTTCTCCCCTTCCTCCTCCCCAACCAACCCCCTACTGTCATAATATCGCTACTCTCACTACTGTTCCTGAGGGGTTTATCCTGAGGGGCTTATCCTGAATTCCATGTGTTGAGAGTGCTTATCTGGACAAATGTGTGTCTTCCGGTCTAGCCAGGTTTGTAAGGTAGAACTGAGTCATGGTAGTGGGAGGAGGAAACGTTCAGGAACTAGATGAATGATATGTGTTTTGCTGCTGCTATACTGCATCTTGGTTGAATCATCTCATCCTTATAACCCTTCTGTGGGGGATATCCCACAATTGTCTACAGATGGGCTTCAGGTCTCCATTCCAAACCCCCTCATTTGCATCGATATAGTTGTTTGTTTTGAATCTTTTGATACCTGATCACACAGGCTGGTGTGCTGCTTCCACATGGGCTTATTTGCCTCCCTGGTAGGTGGCTGCTTGTTTAACTCCAAGCCTTTAAGACCCCCAGGTGCTATATCTTTTGATAGCCAGGCACCATCTTCTCTCTTCACCACATTTGCTTATGCACCCATTTTGTCTTCATTGATCGTGTTGGGAAGGTGGGTATCAAAGAATGGCAGGTTATTAGAACAAAGTATTCTTGTTTTAAGGGAGTCCTTGAGTAAAGGCCAAAAGTCCATCTGCTACCTTAATACTTAACATATGTACATTGGTCTCTATCCATTCTATTATAAATTAGTATATTTACATTACCGTATATACCCAAGTATAAGCTGACTCAAATATCAGCCGAGGTACCTAATTTTACCACAAAAACTGAATTTAAAATGTGCTGAAAAACTTGGCTTATACTCATATATATATACAGTATACACATGCCTATAACTACGCCTCTAGAAATAGCTTTTACCTCCTATTTCTTTCCTGTATTTCCTTTCATCTTCCTCCTATTCCACTATCATGCTCACCTTCCATTTGGCTCTCGGTAATTCTGCTCAGATACATTGCTCTTGATTAAACCCCACCAGGTATTACAGGCCCTCCTCGCCATAAATGTTAGATCTCTTGTTGTTCCCTTACCCCTGAGTTTGTTGCCTCCCATTCCCCTTCCCCACCCCCTCCTCGCCCATGTCACCCCATCCCCCGGAAGCACTGGTCCTGTAGTTTTCTCCCCAGGATTGTTCGTCCTGCCTACCTTATATAGATAGACATAGGGTGAAAGAAAAACAAACAGAAACAAAACAAGAAAAAAACACACCCAATAAATAGTTCCAGGTCTGGCTGCTAACCCTTATGTATGCTTTCCAATCAAGTCTGATGAGGTGCCAAGCCCTGTCCCCCAAGTCTGAAGTGAGGATTCCTCGGGGACTTGGTTATTTTGCTCCCCTCGTTGCACTCCCTTCGCCCCACTGTGCATGGGGCAGTGCTGTCCGCTGTAGCACTTTGGGTCAGTGAGGGAACATCGTGTCTCATGGTGGGGCCGGCCCTACGGTCCTCGCTGTGCATTGGCTGCTTTGAGCAGGGACTGCATCATATTTTATGAGAGATAAAAGAAAGAAACAAAAACCTACTTCCACCAAATCAGAATAGTCAAACATGTTGTTTCGATCCAGGATCCCAGAACTGAGAGACTCCTAGACCCTGGGGAAGATTGATTCCAGGGAACGCCCCCCCAGATCCAGCATGGAGAGAAAGCCTTACCCGCTAGAGCAGAGGTTCCCAAACTTATTTGGCCTTCCACCCTATTTTCAGAAAAAAGAATTACTCATTGGCTCCCTGGCAATGAAAATGTTTTGTGTGCCCTTCTTTGGGAAACGCAGAGCCATCATTCTGACTCCTGACTTGTAGCCTCCTAACAGGCACTGATAAGAGATAAGAGCCCAGGACACCTGGAACCCAGGAACAGGAATGGGAATAGCGATACGGAAGGGTAGGGGGAAGGTGGGGAAACCGATCGCAATGATCAACACATAACCACAACCCCCCTCCAAGGGGACAAACGACAGCAACCATGGGGGAAGGGAGACAGTGTAAGGTATGAAAAGAATAATAATTTAGGATTTATGAAGGGGTCACGAGGGTGGGTTGGGGGAGGGATAAAAGAGGAGCTGATACCAAGGGCTCAATCGAAAGTAAATGTCTAGAGAAGAATGATGGCCACATATGTATGAATCTAATTGATACAGATGCTATATGGTTTATTATGAGTTGTAAGAGCCCCCAAGAAACTGTTTTAATAAATAAATATTTTTTTAAAAAAGGAAAAAAGAGTGAGAGGCGAAAGTCCTGCTCGTTAGAGCCGCCCACAGAGGCATCTCTGTGGGAGCAGCTCTGGAGAACCACGGCAGCCTGTCAGGTGCACGAAGCACGGGAAGGTGCTCTGGTCTTAAATCTGAATGTTCCTTTGTCTAGCAGAAGAGGGTCTGCCTAAGAAATGACTGACCCATTTCTGGCTTGTTCCTCAGGGTCTCTACGGAGCTGCGCTATCGAAAACAGCCTTGGGGGTTGGTGAAAAGCTTCATCGAGAAGAATTTCTGGAGTGGGCTAGAGGACTACTTCCGCCATTTAGGTGTGCACTACAGTCATCCCTGCCGATAGACCTGGAGAAAATGGCCAGTGGTCCAGCTGCCCCCATTCAGGGGGCAGGAGACTTGGAGAGTGGGAAGGGAGGCCGAGACATTGGGTTGGTTGTATGGGACTCATAAGCCTGCACAAAATGGATATAAAAAGGGGGTGTGTGCATGTATGTTTTTCTAGATAATAATTTTATGAGAGTCCTTCAGGATCTAGCACATCCCCTTACAACGACAAGAGTAACAAAGCATTCAATCTAGTGGTGACAGTGTGGGCTCTACTCTAGGGGGAAACTGCAAAGAGCGGGAAATGCCTCTATTAGGAAGAGTGTCATATGTTCCAAATTGTGTCCACAAGGGTACATTTGCAGTTGTGGGCAACATGTGGCTCTCCAGGGAGTTGAATAACCCAGAGTCGAGCCTTAGCTGGGTCTCAGAGAGATTTCCTTAGATACAGAGGCATCTCAGAGGGACCTCTGCCCTACCCTCCAATTTCCCAGATGGCTGTGTGAGAACATGATTCCTTTCAGGGGCTTGAGAGCATGGACTCTGAAGGTCAACAGATGGGGTTGTAGGTGTGGGAAGATGACCTCTGACATGACCTTCTTGGCTCTAACAGAGAGCGAGCTGACCAAAACAGAAACTACCTACCTGGCTGAGATGCACAGACAGTCTCCCAAGGAGAAGACCAGCAAGCCCCCAACAGTGCGGAGGAGAAAGCGTCCCCATGCCCACTTGCGGGTCCCTCACCTTGAAGAGGTGATGAGCCCTGTCACCACCCCCACTGATGAAGAAGTGGGCCACAGGATCAAACACGTGGCAGGTGTGTGCCAGGTGGAGTTAGGCCAGGCTCTGGCCTGGAGCTTCTTTCCTGTGTCAAGGCATGGGAGAGCACACTCATTTTGTACCTTGAGAGAATGGTCTGTATATCATCGGTACCTGAGTCATTACATTTGAAGCTGTTCCCCACCTGCACCAGACTTCAGTGATCAACCTGTTTCTCTTTACCCTCGAAGTTCTCCAGCTCCTTTTAAACCCATATTGTGCTATATATCCAGAGCTTTGGGCTTCTGCCTCCACGTTGTCTATGCTGGACTGCTACCTGCAGAACGTCAGGTGCGCACCTTCTAGATTCTTCGAAAAATGCACCAGAGAGAAGCCTAAGCCCAGATCCCAGAGATTACCTCAGGTCACAAAGATCAAGAGATCCAAATTAGGACCCCCACCACACCTTGGCCCGTAAACCCAACAGGCAGTGGACTCCCTTGCTAGTTCGGTCTCTCCCTCCCTCTCCCCCAGCTGTTCACAGGCTCCTCTTTGCGTGAGTATGTTCACGTGATGATTCAGTCATGACTCTGCTCAGTCTCGGGGAGCCATCGGGACTTTAAAGACCAACCAGTGCTGTTTTCCAAGCTGGGCTCTGCACACCCAGGAGGGCTGCTCTGAGCTGGATGAGGACTGTGAGGAAGACAGCTGCAGACTCTGTGCCCCTTGCCCAACCTCAACTAGGGCACTACCATGTTAGGTGTTTTCCATACGCCTGAGAAAACTGGCTCTCAGAAGGACAGGGTGATTTGCCCGATGTCACATGGCTGGTGAGGGGTCACACCAGGGCTAGACACTAGCTTTGTGGTCGCACATCACTGCTGTATCTTCTCCCATGTCCTGCATGCGTCCTAGGACAGAGGTTTGTTGGTTTTCCAGTTTTCCACCCTGCCTGCCTCAGCCTTGTCCTCAAAGGACTTGCGTTCTAGTTTTGGAGGGTGGCGTCTGTCTATCATATTGTAGCAGCAACATCAGCGACGAAGCCTTGGTCATTTCCTCATGTTCTCCGTGTAGCCAGTATTGTTGCAGTCATTGGACTCATGGACTACACAGGTGACAGCCTCTTTGTTTCCCCCAGGTTCCACGCAGACCCGGCACATCCCTGAGGACAGCGCCAGTGGTTTCCACCTGCAGAGTGTGTCCAAGCTGCTGTTGGTCATCAGCTGTGTGTAAGGAACTCCAGGCTCTCCTACCAGGCCACCCAGGACTCCTCTCTCCTGTCTCTGGCCCATCTGTCGTCTTTTAGGGTGGTGGGGCCCCTGGCTGTTAGCTTTGGTTCTCTGGGTCTTCTCAATCTGCACCCACGCATCCTCTTCTCTGCTGAAGTGGGCAGTTTCTGAACGCCAGGCCTTTGGGATTCAGGGGAAAATGTCCCAGCGTCCATGCCTCTCAAGTGGGCGAGGCTGGAAATTCAAGGTGATGGCACAGTAGGGGCATAGATTGCATTAGGAAGTGTCCTGATTATGGTTTCCAGGGTCCACACCTGGTCAGGGTGGCCAGACAAATCCCTTGACTACAATGTAGGACTAAGTGTAGGATAATTGCTATAGCATAACAAAATAGCAGATTCAGTTGTTGGTACAGGAAGATACTGCTAGGATAAGCAAAGAGGCAGCTCAAAGAGAGGAGGGGGTGAGTTGGGAGGACCCAGCTCGCTAGTGTCTGATGGATAAGTCAATGGGGATAAGTCTGGGTACAACCTACTGGGTGTGTTTCTGAGCCATTTTGAGCTGAGTACAAACACCGCTTCCACTTGTTCAGCCCACTAGTATCCCAGCAGTGCTGCTGCCTGGCCTCCCACCCCTCGGCATCCAAGGGTGGGGATGGGGGGTGCCTGGCGGGAGGGGGGCGGGGGGGGACTGACTCTACCAGCCTAGCCTCAGGCTCTAGACTGTGAGCTTACTCAGTGTCCCCCAGCAATTAAGAACTTTGTGCTATGGCCATAACCCAGGATGAAGGACAGGTGTCTGCGTTGGCAGGCCCGGCATCACTTCAGCACCGTCCAGGTGGGGCAGTATTGCCCACTTTGGGAAATGCTGCTCAGCCTTTCTCGAGTTCACTCTTGGTTCATTCCTGCCCTTCCCTGAAACATTGTCAGAGAGGCAGAGACGGGGCACAGCCTTACCCCCAACAAACACTGAAGGAAGCCACAGAGGATGTCATTAGATGTACGGGAAGATCCACGTGCACGTGTGTCTATAGATAGATGGCTATTACTTAGACAGGACTTTGGTCTGGAAGGACTGGAGGCCAGAAGTCAGAATGGACAGCAGTGATCTGGGTGAAGTCCTGGGTCATGTGGAAGTGAACGCACTCCCTGCTAACCAGGAAAATGGAAGTCTGTGCTCACCCACAGGCCCTTTGGAGGAGAGTCCTAGAGTTTTACTTCTCAGTGTTGCCATCCCACAACCTGGGGAGTATCTGACACACATGGAGGCATGAATCAAAGTTGGTTTGACGGCACTGGTGGTTTAGATGAGAGTGGCTGTCAGACTGAAATGAGAGCTGAGGATGTTAGAAGGTAAAGCCCACATTCGGTCATGTGAGCTGAAAAAGGTGAAGTACTGGCTTGAGTGGACCTGGAAGGTTGTATGATGAATGGAAATCTGACAGCGAAACATGGTCTAGGACGCCCTCAGCTGCAGGTCCAGGCTGTTCAGGTGGAGGTGACAAATGACCTGAGATTGGGGCTCTGGAGCTTAGGAAGGGAGTTTAACCGGAAGCTGACAAGTTTAAAGCATTATGGACAATGTGAAAGTGGTGGTGGTGAGTAAGATCATGCGAGGAGCGGGCAGAGCTGAAAAGGAACGCAGTAGAGCCCAGGCCAAGGTCTACTGACAACAGTTTAAGGACAGGCAGCCCGCCAGCACACAGGGTGTCTGCCCTCAGCTTTCATGTGGCACAGGCAAGATAGTACCATGAGCACAAGCCCAAGCACTGGCACTAAGTTCCTTCCTACGCCACCCACACTCAGATGAGCGGGTGAGCGCTTCTTCGGTGAAAGACAGCGGCATTGAAATTCGGCCGCTGTGCACATTTTCTGGTGGAGAAGTTGGAGAACAGAGTCGATGAGCCTCAGGCATTTTCAGCTGTTGGTTTAAGGAATTCTACCTTACGTCGGTGCCAGCTGTAAAAGTGAGGCAAATCGTTTTAAATCCATGCACTTGGCAAGCTCTAAGGCAGTGATTCTCAACCTGTGGGTCGCAACCCCTTTGGGGGTCAATTGACCCTTTCACAGGGGTCGCCCGATTCATAACAGCAGCAAAATTGCAAGTATGAAGTAGCAACGAAAATAATGCTGTGGTTGGGCATCATCACCGCATGAGAACTGTGTTAAAGGGTTGCGACCTGAGGAAGGTTTGGAACCACTGCTCTAAGGCATGAGATAAGCTTTTCTTTCTTCGCTGCCCTTTTCCCACCCATTTGTTTCACCTCCCCTTTTTATCGCTTTCTCTTTTCCAACATGCTCTGTAATGCCTTGTTCAATGATAATAACCGCCCTTTTCGGAGGACCTGCTGCAGGCACCTGTGTGAGTCTGGGTAGACTAGAGAAACAAATCCGTGGACACACGTGTATAAGGAAGAGGTTTATCTACAAGAGCAATTGAACATTAAGAAAACAACCCAGTCCAGTCCAAGGCCATATGTCTGATACTAGCCCATATGTCTGATACCAATCCATAAAATCCTCTTCAGACTCATGAAACACATGCAATGACGCCAAATGCAGGACGATCACAGGCCAGTGGGTAGAAAGTCTTTGGGTCCAGTGGTGTTGTAAGCATCTCAGCACTGGCAGGGATATCTCTGTGGCTTCTCCGGGTTCAGAGGTCTAGTTGCTTCCATGTGGCTTGTCCGGCTCAGAGCACTAGGGTAGTTCTATGTGTCTTGTCAGCTGCAATGTCTCCCAGGGAGTGGCAGAGAGAAGTGTCTCCTGCCAACAAGAAGGCATTACCAGATTTCCCAGAATTCTCAGGAGAAGGCCATGCCCACACAGAAGTCTCACTGACTATCTCCAGATTGACAGCCTAGATTCCATTCCTACACTCTTAATCCTTAAATTGACACCAGATTAGGTGACTGCCACAGCACCCTTGAACACATAAAAACAGTACATTCCTTTTTAACCAACTCCAGTGGGTAGGTGTATTGTCCCCCTTGGAGGAAGCTGGGATTTAAGAAACTTGATCAAAAGTTTGTGAGACTTTCAAAGGATGAGCCAGGGCTAGTAGTAGATTCCACGTGACTCTGGAGCTTTTGTTTACCTGGGTCCTTACCTCCCCACCACTTCAACTGCTGTTATAAAATCATGTTTTAGCCACTCAGACGAAGAGAAAGAGTATCCTCAGCCTCTTAGTGAATCGCCCTTCCATCTGGGGGTCCCCAGTTTCCAGGTTATCCTGTCCCCCAGCCCCTTCTTTGCCCAATTCTAGCTGACTCTAAGAGGTGTTGGCTGTTCCTTGTACAGAACAGTGGGAGGTACTGGGAAGTGAGGCATTGGCAGGAAGCTTTAGGGTCTCAGCTGGGAGGGGAGTCTCACTGGGATTTCCCCATTGTATCCTGAAGCTGGGTTGGCAGGCAGAATCTTCGGTAACTTCAGCACCTGCGACACCCTAAGAACCTGTTTGAGGTGTGTTTCTTTCTTCCCCCTTGCCAGGTCTCCTCATCTTGCTCTCTGGCCTCCAGTGTGCGTCTCATATACTCTCACTTTCTCTCTGGCTCAGATTTACTGCAGTTTTCTGCTTCCCGACTCTAGTCTGTTTTTAACCTCTGCCTCCTCCTCTTTTTCTTCCTTGCTCCCACTAGGATCTGTCTCAGGTACTGGCTCTATGACTACTTCTTTCACCCCTCATCTCTTTTCCTCTCCATCTTGTCTTCATTTCCCCAAGGGCTCAGGTTTTGGGTAATTTCCATGTATCTCTCCTCTCCAGCCCTCTACTCTCCTCCCCTCCGCTCCCCAATGACTTCCATGGCAATGTCCAGCCCTTCCAGATTAGAGTGCTTCTTTCTCTTCCTCCTCCTCTGCCCTCTTGTGACCTCCCTCCGTTTCCCCCAATCACTGCAAAGCTTCTGGTGACCCAGCAGTTAAGAAGAGCAGCCTCTGGGGTGGGCATGGCTGGATCTTCCAGGGAGGAGACTCCCCAGGACACACCTCATTGCTGCCGCTCTGTCCCCGTCTCCATCCTAGTCTGGTGCTGCTGGTTGTCCTTAACATGATGCTGTTCTACAAGCTCTGGATGTTGGAATATACCACCCAGACCCTCACTGCCTGGCAGGGTCTGAGGCTCCAAGAAAGGTAACCCTGGCTTCTCCCCTTGCCACCACTTTTGCCTCCCTGATTCTCTGCCATGACTCCTGCCTCCCAGTGCCCTCAGGACTGTCCCACCACTCTTGCTCAGGGAATGATCCTTTGGGATGATCCGATCATGGAGCTCCAGGGAGGTGGGTGGGGGGAGGAGGGGCTCGCTGGGTTTCAGTCTGCTTCTGACTTGAGGGCTGGGAGCCGGGAGCAGTGTGCAGAGGCCACAGCACTCTGATGTGGCTCTCTGTCCTTTAGGGGTCTGGGAGCACAAGGCAGCTCGCTGAGCATAACTCCAGCCGCTGGAGTGCCACTCCTTCTGCTCCACAGGTTACCACAGTCCCAGACAGAATGGGCCCAGCTCTTAGAATCCCAACAAAAGTACCATGATACCGAACTCCAAAAGTGGAGGGAGATCATCAAGTCTTCGGTGATGCTTCTGGACCAGGTAAACTGCCCCTCCTCTTCTCTTGGCCTTAGTCGTCAGGAGAGGGAACTCCTTCCCTGGGCTCACAAAAGGACCTCCACCCGTCACCACCTGCCCACCCTCATCCTTTCAGTTAGTCTTCTCCCAGATAGCCGAACTGTCCGAACTGGAAAGGCATCCAGGGCGCAGCAGGAACTGTAGGTGTGTTCTCAGAAGCAGAGCAAGGAAACAACACCCGGGTTTATTGCAGGAAAGCTGTACGGTAGAAGAAGGGAGAGCTTTATTTTTTCCTTGCCCCATTTTGCTGACACAGGGCTCACCTGATAGACATCCAAAGCGAAAGCCCCTTTTTTACAGAGACTGGTCTTCCCGGAGGACATGTCTTCTAATTCCTTTTGATACACGCTACCCCTTTCCCACCCTACAATCACAGACACGCACACATGTTTTTCCAGTATGCTGCATTTTCTTTATAGTGAAGCTGCCTTTATTCCTCCTAAAAGTGAGAGCAATTTAAGAACATTACTCTAAGGCAAAAATCAATACTTAGCTTTGTTTTATTGATGGTCCAGGGAATCCCTACTTCCTGAGAATTTAACATCTTATAAAGAGCTCTGTCATGTGGTTGCCAAGCAAGCAAGAGACTCTTTGCTGTGAAGAAGATGAGGAAGATAAGGACATGGATTTCTCCTATTACATTGAGGTTTCTGTTCCTAAAGTGGTGCTCTTCTGATGTGTAGTCAGTCCGAGCTGAGACAGACTCCCAGCCTTGCCTCTCACTGGCTTTGTGACCACGGGCAGACCAAACTCTCCCTTGCTCTCGTGTCTGTGCCTACTTCTAACAGCTCTGTGGGAAAGCATAGAACCACTCCACAGGGTTCCAGGGCTGCAAACCTATAGAGAATCATGTGGCCTCATCTTTCTTTCATGGCGCATGGAAGGCTCGTTCATCTTCGATTTTTATTTCCTCTTTCTGTTTTGGCCTTACCTTTAGATTGATGTGGTTACTGGAATCCAGTTGAATATGTTTTCAGTATTACATTTTGCTTTGGAGCTATGATTAAGGAGGGCATTTTTTAATCAGTATAATGAGCTTGGGAACCCCATCCATGAATTGAAGCTGTGCTCTGACAGTCTTCCGAGGTCCAACAGATAATTAGACAAATGACAAAATTCCATAGCATAGGGCTGAACTAGGACCACGGGCTTGAAGTTATGGGAGACTGGTCAAAACCCAGGCTATTTATTGTTTGAGCTATCTAGCAATAGAATGGGCTAATGTGGATGTCTGAAAGCCATCCCTGAAATTGATCCAGGGATGGCTTGAAGATCTTTGATTAGAAACGTGTGAATTAAATGGGGGCAGTTGAATTGGATGGCCTAAAATTCTCTTCCAACTCCAGAATTCTATTTCAGGGTAAATCCCCATAAATTGAAGCTGAACTGTCAGGCTTACAGCACAATAAATTCTATATTGCAAGTATTAAAATCAGTATTTTATTTCACTCCCTTTGAAGGTACCATATATATTCGAGTATAAGCCGATCCGAATATCAACAGAGGCACCTAATTTTACCACAAAACTGCATTAAAAATGTGTTGGAAAAACTCGGCTTATACATAGGTATATACAGTAACTTTTCAGAGCAACTTTTCATCCCTGTTGAGCTAAGGGTATAGAAGAATCAGAAGAAAGAGGTAGATTAGGCAGAGACCAGATGTGCTCAAAATCCATAACTCTTTCTCCATGGAATAGTAATTGTTCTGTGTGGTAACAGAGCACCTTACTTAGACGCAACATTTAAATGTGTTGTGATCATACTTTTTCAGGATTCCATGAACTGGAACGCATTCATTCAAACTCCACCCCTTGTAGATCTAAACATGTATAGGCGTTTATTCTTTTAAAGAGATTGGTTAATTCAGTAATATGAATACAAGCTTGGTGCCATGCTCAGCACCTCTAGTTTGTAAAGTGAGGTTAAGATGCAGTTTCAGTGCCAACAAACCTGAAACAAAGCAACTAAAGACGGTTGCAGACAAGAGCCACAGTGTATGATATTTGAGAGAGAAATGGGTGTGTAAGCCAGGAAAAGATGTTTAGGTTTGTTCTGGGTCTTCAAAAACAGGTGAGACTGGAATAGAGGAGAAAAGAATTCCAGATGAGGTCAACAGAGTAGCCAAAAGACAACACAGTATGACATATTCCAGATCCATGGACAAACCAAATGAACATGTGTGAAGTGTTCTTTTTGGAATTAAGACCATCAAATAAGTTGCAGTCGAATGTGGCCCCTCCACAAGATCAAAAGGAATCTTCAAGAGAGTCCTTAATCCAAGGCTTTGACACTTTGAGAGAGTAGTTGTCAGTAACACAAATGACTGAGACACAAGGAACCTTACCCCGGGGCTCCCAACGCAAGACTGCCCCTTTCTGTCCGAGATATTGCCCCTGAGAACTGCCCTGGTTTCAGGAGCCTGGCTCTCTCTCGCTCCCTGGCTTTGTGAGAACTCTGGCTGCATCCAGTCTTGTTTAGGTTGCTGGAGGGAGAAGCTCGCTGAGGCTGCATGCCCACCGCTGGGGTGGGGTTCTTCTGTCTTACAGATGAAAGATTCCCTCATCAACCTTCAGAGCGGCATCAGGTCCCGGGACTACACATCAGACAATGAGGAGAAGAGGAACCGCTACCATTGACAAGGCAGGACCAGGGTGGCTGCCAGAGGCCTGTGCAATCCCTGTACATAGACCATATAAATAGAGATATAAATATATATATATACAGAAGATAAATATATATATATTATATATAGATTTTAAAACGAGATCATGCCTACGTACCATGGAGAAGGAGCAGGACTGCCTCCGGGACTGGCTGGAGAAAATGCTTTCCTTTGGTGGGTGGGCAGAGGCGGCCGAAACCACCTCTCAGCACCATCCTCCTCCCCCCCCCCTCACACACTTTTCCTTGCTGGGCATTTTCAGCTCTTAGAAGGGAAATGTCGTGATGCCGGTGAAGATGCTGAGATCTTGAAAATAAGTCTCCAGGGGCATTGCCAAGGTGCTTCATTCCCTGATCCCCTCTTGATGTGTCCCCCAAATAAAAGGTAACCCTTTCTCCCTCACCCCATGCTCCCCCACCCGGGCGTTCTCTGGTGAAGCAGGAAGCAGGAAGGGAGAGGGAGCCCAATCTAGACTGCACCCTTCCTCCAGGTCACAGACTACGCGTGGCTGGAGAGGACCCTTTGGGAAGCTAGGAAGGCTGGGTTTGTGAGCCTGGGCCGGGTCTCCACCGTCTCCTCAGGACCCGTGATTTGAAGGGCATTCTCTCTGGCTAACCTCTGCAGCTTTCTCTAACTAGTGTAGAGTTGGACCCACTAAGGGCTGGGAACGTCGTACTTCCCACCCCCTGAATCTCTGCTCTTTCCCCAGGCTGGGTCTGGGTGAAGTGTCACTTTTTAGGGCCGAAAGCCCTATTGCTTCTCTGTGCCCTAAGAGCACACTGCTTATTAGCCAGGGTGGAGTATTTTTAATCTTCATTCACTTTGAACTGTCACCTTTGAATGCCAGGATGAGTCAGGGAGCCCCAGTCTCCAGGGTGTGAGGGGGCCGGGTGGATGTCCTTGCCATGTATGGGCTGTAGGTTCTGTCACAAAACCCTGGGTGAACAGTCTTGACAGGGAGCACCAACATCCGCAAGCCACTCCGTTCATTGCCAGCACCACTGACTTTGAGTGAAGAACCAACTTTGGTCATGGATGCAGATCTAAGTCATTGGAGGGATGGGATTTGGCAAAGGTATGTCTTTAGTTTAGGAAAAGGCCAAATGGAGTCTTTGCCCAGGGTCTGTATTCCAAACCCCCAATCTTCAGATTTGGGCGTGGAGGTCCTGGCAGAAGGAGAGAACTCTTTTGTGGTCTCTGGCCCCCAAAGAGATGTGAGATCATTCGGTTAGGAGATGTACTCCATCATCCTTCTTCATACACTGCTATTTCTCCGTATCATGAGGAAAGAAGTCTTACCAGCCCCAGGCAGTTTATAGAGATTCTTGATCAGGAAAAGGTCATACCTGATTTGAGGAGAACTATTCAAACTGGCTGTTCTTTTCTGTACCCCTTTAATGCAGGGGTATAAGGAAGGTCCTAGAACATCAGCACAAGGGAAGGAAGGTTTTGTCACTGATACCCCAAAGCATAGCAAGTGGATAGTCTGGTCCCTCTACTTTGGCAATTGAAGAAATTTTTTTTTTTCCTGCTCACTCTCTATGTATGGTTTGGTATGGCCAAGCATGATAATACATCCCCCCGGGAATCAGGATGAGGAAGTCCCAGGGGCCCAGCTAGAACCGACAGCGTGCTAGGAAATGAATTGTGAAGAAATGGATTGAGATATAATCCCTGCATGAGGTGCATATGCAAGGCTAGGTTGCTCTTGTCCAGGGCTTTGAGCAGAAACCCTGGCCTTTGAACCAGAAGAAGGAGGCGAATGCAGACTTGGAAGGAATTTTCCCTGGGAGTAGTCAGTCGTTGCCGTGTGCCCAGGCCAGGAACCAAGGTTATTCCCAGAAACTTTGGATGGCAAAAATGAGAAACTCTGATATATTTCAAGCATAATTATTTATTTAAAGTACTGTATATACTCAAGTATAAGCCGACCCGAATATCAGCCAGGGCACCTAATTTTACCACAAAACCTGCATGAAAAAAGTGCTGAAAAACTCAGCTTATATGCGAATATGTACGGTACTCCATCTTAAAAGTCTTGTGGTGGGACTTCTGGGATGGATGAGATGAAGGTTCCTTGCTGGGAGCACAGTAAAAGAAAGACCGTGTTCCAGAGATCCCTGCTTCTGCATTAGTTCTCTGGACCATTCCGGGGAGGTGTCTAGGTGGCCTGGATGGAGGTGCATTGTGTGCTCGAGGAACACGCATGCTCTCTGGTGTTTTGAGCCCAAGAGACATTTAGAGGCTGGTCCTTAACACCTTTGTTATCTAAGAATCAGGGACCTCCTGTGGGCATCCTTTGTGCTAATATTTTTGGGTTCTTTTTACTCCCAGGCGAGAAGAAAGCCAAGGACTCTTTGCTCCCAAACAAAACTCGTACCTTTTATCCCATAACCTGTAGAAGAGAAAGGTGTGTATCCTTACAGAGAAGTCTGGGTATGAACAAATATGTAACCATGTAACTCAAGGCCAGGAAGTTGCCCAGGCTAGTAACTGTCTGCAAGAGAGTGTAAACACGCCACCACATTTTAGGGCATTGCTTCCAGCCAAAGCTTTCTTGGTTATTGTTCATGTAAGAATTCTGTAGTTTTTCAGCCAGGATTCATATGGGAAAACTTTTTAGAGCTCTGCTCCCTTTCAAAGAACTTGCACAGTTTCTCACCATCTAATCAGGTGAAGGACAGTTAAGGGTCTAAACATGCACTCTCGTGGAGGAACTAATAATAAGCTTGGCCCCAGAGCCATCTGTGTCTGTAACTTTCCCATGCCCTTCCCCACTGCCTACTCCCCAGGACGTTAGGACAGCACCCTAGGCCAACTTGAAGCGCTGTGGGAGATTGGAATGAGTCCACAGACCCAGGCTAGAGACCCGGCTGTGCCACTGGCTAGCTCTGTGTCCGTGGACAGGTTGGCAACCCTTCCTTCCCTCTCCCCTGTGCTGTCATCCATAACAGAGGGGTTGAGGCCAGATTATTTTTAAATGTAGGGTCTAGCTTTAACATTGTCCTTGGGGGAGGGGGGTGGGGAGGTAGAGGTCAGCAAGGCTCAGCAATCTCTGACTTGGAAAGGGCCCTGGCAAAATGGACCCAGCCTCCTGGGCCACAGCCGCCCTGGCATTTGCAGGAGTGGCAGGGCGGGGCAGTGTGTGGGCTCCAGGAAATCCAGAGGAGACACATCTTCTTTAGGGACTTGGAGGGCTGCCCCGGGAAGCCTGGCGGCCGGGGAGTGTTAAGCTAGGGGGCTGTTTCTTCCTTCTTTGGCCTCCTCTGAATTTCAGGGATGTGCCTCTAGACTTCTCTGTAAGATAACAGAAAGAGGAAAACGGCAAGAAAAACACTATCTCCAGTTCAACCTGTCTTCCTTCTGTTCCTTAGCAATGGAGTCTTTGATCTGTTTGCCCTTCTTCCTTCTCGCTAGAGGAAATAGCAGAGAGAGACCGACTTTTAGTTCACCCCTCTTTTGCCTCAACCAAAGTCCTGTGGAGGCTTGTATTAAGTGTGGAGATTTTGCTAGCACCAAGAGAACCTGGGATTGTGATTTGGGGGGGAGGGGGGGCGGTCAGACCAGGTACAGTTCCCACACTGTGGCTCCGGTGTTATCTCCTCCCCATAGTGCTATGAGTAAGTGAGGGGACACCCTGTCTTGTGATGGGGCCAACCCTATACTCCTCTCAGTGCATTGACTGTTCTGAGCAGAAATATCATTCTTGGGGTTTGGGGGG